GTCACTGACCTGCACGCACACCCCATCCACCTTAAAAAACACGTGGCAGAACAGGGAGCCGGAAGAAAGAAATCAGAGAATAAATCCCTTTTTTAAAAATCAACTTGCATTTTGGGGAAAAGGATAACTCTAAGAAGCTGTTCTAGAGACATGGGGGGCAGGTCACTATCATCATCTTTATCCATCAGGATCAGAGGAATCAATGAGGAGAAAACTACTCACAGCAACAGCAGCGACAAGAAAACATGAAGGGCTCCTCCAGGCTGACCCTCAAGAAATGTCTAAGCATGACTGGCTCAAAGGCTACGTTTTCCAAAACCGTTCAGATCCACCCTGCCTCTTCTCTCTCCTCTCTCTCTAGTGTGCGCGTGCGCGCGCGCACACACACACACACACACACACACACACACACACACACACACACAGTCTGATTTCCTCTTTGTATACAGACTAAACCTGTCCCAAAAAGTTATCTATTGTGAACGTGCCACTGGATTTCACACTAAGCCTGCCAGCCAAAACATAGAGAAAGAGAAGCCAAGGAGAAATCTAGAAAGATGGGGCTCCACTGCAGGAGTGATGAACAACCACACGTGTGCCATCTTGTAGCAGCTACAGATCAGTCCACTCCCCTACTGAAACTGCCACCCTTATAACCTTCCTTTGCAGTGTAAAGAGAAGTCAGTGCATTCCTAAATTACCCAAAAGATTTCTTCCTTAAAAGGGAGGGTCCAAATCTCTGAATTTGGGAAGTCAAAGGTAAGCTGAAAGTCATCAGCTACTCTAACCCTCATTTTACAGATGAGTAAGTTGAGGCCCAGAGAGTAAGAGGCAGTGATGTGCTCAAGGTCAAAAAGACAGAGGATGAGACAGGATTAACAACCAGGTCTCCTGAACTCCAGAATCCTTTCTTTCCATTGTACTAAGTATCTTTGGTTGGGAGGAAGAGACTAATTGAGAGGACAGCTGTGGGAAAAGTACAGAAATCAAATAATAATTGGCCACTTCTCAACCTTGGATGATTCCCACCATCTGCTGATTTTGCTCCTTTTGTGGGCTGCTGAATGGAGCTAAAGAAAAATGAGGAAACTGATAATTGGCTATGCTGCAAATTTATGTCACAGACTCACAAGTAGGCTCTCGCTGCTACCTGGCAATCCCTTTTCCACCCACCTCTCTAATCCACTCACTCTCCCAATCACCTCAGCTTCTCCAGATGCTTTCATCCTTCCTCAAAAGTCCCATGATCCCCCAGTTCCTCTCAAGAAGCAGTGCCTCACAGTTCACAGAAGAAAACAGGCCAATCGCTGAGATCCAATTCCACTCATCTTTTCTAGCAGACTATCCCGATTCTATCACTGACATGCCCTCTCATCACTGTTCAGTCTCCTCCCGACTACAAACACCACCCCTGTCTGCCAGATTCCTAAACAACCTTCCTCTGATCCACTGATGCAGCTCCTCCATCCTCTATCTCTTCTCCCTTTCATGGCTGAATTTCTTGAGAAGGCTGTCTATGATAGTCATCCCTCTCACTCTTCTGAACTCTCTGAAGTCTGGCTTCCTGTCCATCTACTGAAACTGCTCTCATGCTTACCAAGGATCTCCTTGCCCTGCCTACTTCACAGGCTTGTATTGTGAAGAAAGAGCCAAGTAAACTTTAAAACTGTCTAAAAATGTAAGGAAAGCCTTTTATCAACAGTAAGGTCCTACATTCACGTGACTTATTAACAAATATTTGAGTGTATAACGGAATGCGCCTCTCCAAACTTTCCAAGACCTAACAGAAGAATGCAGGCCATCCCCAGGCCAGGTGGGGGGTGCCATGGGGACTAGACGAGAATGACCTGAGCTCGTATTCCAGGGGATAGTCCTGGGTCGGCTCTGTGTCTCATGAGGTGGCAGGGCAGGGCTTTAGTGGGGGGGGGGGCAGGCGCGTTATGAACACCATTGCCAGGGCGGTCATAGTCCTTTCTGGCTGCTAGAATTCGCCAACAGCATACACTGCTGCTGCTGCTTCAAGTCAACAGACATTAGTTAGACAGCGCTCACAAGCCTCCTTTTCAGACCACAACCTGCCTGCTGTAAAGACCAGATTGTCTTTTGCTTTCTTCATATCCCTAGAACTTAGCTCAGGGCCTGGCACAGTCATTTTTCAGTCATGTCCTACCTGTCATGACCCCATTTGGGGTTTTCTTGGCAGAGATACTGGAGTGGTCTGCCATTTCCTTCTCTAGCTCATTTTACAGATGAGGAAACTGAGGGCAGCAGGGTGAAGAGACTTGCCCAGGGTCACACAGCCAGCCAGTGTCTGAGGCTGGCAGGTCTTCCTGACTCCAGGTCCAGCATTCTATCCACTGTGCTACCTAGCTGCCTGCTTGGCCCATAGCAGGTGTTTAGCAAATGCCTTTTTGACTGAGAGATGCTACTACAAAGTGATCACTTATTTTTACATTTAATTAAAACAAAGCTTTTTAAAAAGCACATTTTTTAGGAAGCTTAAAGAAACCCAAACAGCAAATCCAGAGCCTCCTCTCTTGCAGAATTCTAGATTTCTGAGGGGCAGTGAAGAAACATTTAAGTGCTTTATTTTAAAAAGTATTCATTTCCAATATTAAGCAACAAGATTTCTTTTTCATGGCTACAACAGTGATAGCATATGACTTGTAAGCAATTAAGTTAGTGAATTTAGTGTGAGGACCACAAAAAAAAAAAAAGTTAACCAAAAATCAAATGAACAGCTAAACTCTGAGCCGTACAATCTCCATCGGGGGGTGGAGGCCCTCACCAACATCCGCAGGGTGGGATTTCTCTTCCAGCTTGGCCCGGTTCAGGCACTGACTAGGTCTACCTGACCTCCTCTCTCTTTACAAACCTCTTCTGCAGCCAGCAGAACCCTGCCTTAAAGGACTCGTGTAAAACAGAAGCAGTCTTCCGGTGAACAGCAGCCTTGGCTAGCATGCCCTCACTGCAGGCGCAGTAGGTGGAGTCATCCTGGAAATGCTCCATGTAGAAAGATGGAAAGGAACTCCTCTGTGTCCAACTAGATTTCAACCAATGAGGCCCACTGAATGACGAGTAAGCGTGGGTCTGTACATACCAAGCAGAGGGGAAGGGGACCCCTCCACTGCATTTTAGGTGCGGGTCATGCATGGACCTGTCAACAACACCATGGAGCACTCTAGCGGATGCTCTGAAGACTGAGATCTCCACTGGATAGATGTGGAGAATGCCTGAGGCCACAGCCCACTGGCTGCAATGTCAGAGGCAAGAGGAGAACGTGAGGAGGGCTTCCTCACTCCAAGTCCTTATGACACACACATGCCCTTACTCCCAGTTCTTCCTATGACAGCTTTCTGGGTTCTTTATCTGTTACTGCCTCCTTCAAATGATTCCAACAAGCATTTTTTGAAATTAAAGCAAACCAATAAGTAGCTTGCAAAATGGAAAAGGGATGACAGACAACCAATTAAAGAGTCTTGGAATCACAGACCTGGCAACCTAGTATAGCAGAGAGCCCTGGGTGGCTTGAAATATATCGCTAGAACCTGTATGTACACACACCTCCAGGAAGCCTGGGGGTATAAGATACCTTTAGGTATAGGAAAAAAGTAAGGGAAAGATGGGAAATTTTTATTTAGCTTCTGCACAGAATGAGAAACGATGAGGCACACAGTGACAAATACCAGAAGCCCAGGAATAAGAGGACCTGGTCATGGGCACCTCTCTGAGCTTCAGTCTCTCACCTGTAAAATAAGCGAGCTGGACTAGGTCATCTCTTAGACCCCTTCCAGCTCTTAAAAGTCTACGCTTCTATGGGAATTGGGGAAATTTGGAACCAGAGATCTTTTTTTAAAATTTCACAATGCAAGTCTGCTTTACCAAGTAAGTATTTTCACATTAAACACCACAGTTGTGAAGTGAGAAGGCCTCCGTTCAGACCCTCCACATCTTTGGTCCCAGGTTCCCTCCTCTGCACAACCACGTGGTGGAAATGGATGGTTTCTAAAGGCCCTTTCCAGATCTAAGTCCATGAGCTATGATTTCAGAAGGAAAAATATCAATAGCATCAACATATTCTTGCAGAACCCTTGTCATACTGTGTGAAATACACTATATTTTGGGAAATGATGACTGAATGTCATCCAGTCCTGAGAAAATGGTCCCTGGGTCCCACAGCAAGTGGGCATCATCTGCCATGACATTCTAATTCAGGCCTTCTCTCCTTCTTACCACCACCACACCACACCACAGCACAGCACTAGCCTTTCCTCTTCTATGCACGTTCCCACATCCACGACCCATTTTGAGGAGGGGGGTGGGGCTAGGAAATCAGCTTCACCCACATTGGTCAGTTTGGTCTGAATTTCAGCTTGGCCCAGCTTGGGGACTAATTGTCTCTAGTCTAACCTCTACCCTTTCTCAAGTCACCAGGGTTTTAGAAAGAAAAAAGTCAAGTAGATCTTTAAAAAATTCATGCAAAGCCCTCAAAGCCCCTCAAGTATAACAGACAACACCCACAAGACAGTGCATAAGAACACACACAAACTTTTGCTAGCAAGAGAATCTAAGTTCCTCACGGGCAGATTCTGTTTTGTACCCCCTGTGCTTAGGACAGTGTCTTGTACACAGTAGGTCCTTTTGTCTGATTTGCTAAAGGAAATACAGTCCTTTTCTTTTCCCTGCACAACAATCTTGAATTACCCCTTACTGTAAATGAAACTTTGAGATAACATCTCCATACCTATTCTTTTTATTTCTTGGGGCTATCTGAACCAAAGACGCCCGAGGCCAGTTTTTTCTTGTAGCCATGGAAGATCTGTGACAATGAGCACACCATACAGTGGTGTGCCCATACATATCTGGATTCTCATTACTCAAAGTTATAATGAAGTAAAATATGGTCATTGTTTCAACTCAAAGGAAATATGCAGTGCAAGTCAGGCAGCTACTGATGGCCAAAAGCAGTAACACATCCTGGACCTGGCTTTCACACTCACCATCACTGTGCAATCCTCTGAACCACTGGCAATGACCTGGTCGTTGTGTGGACACCAGTCAATGTCGAGCACGGGTCCTGTGTGGCCACATACTGTTGGGTAGGATTTGTCAATTCTACCAGTCTACGGCAAAAGAGAGAAATACGAATTATAGACACCTTTTATTTATTTTGGATTTCCTTTATACACATCTACCCCTCCCCCTTCCCAAACTGTAACACTCTATAATTAAAGGGGATAAACCGGGCAGGGGGAGAGGAGAGAAGATACTTGACACTTGAGATATACAGTATTTAGATACGGCAAATGTCAACAGGTGAGTACTTCCAACTTCCAGTACTAGAAACCACTATGATTCTTACAAAGTCCTCAGTTCATAAGATCTCCAATGAAGACATAACAAAAAGCAGATGCTGCAACAGACACTAAGTGGTGTCCCCAAAGTTTTTACTCCAGGGACAGTAGCTCCAAAAAAGGGAGAGGGAAGCCCCATTTTATAATGATGGATGACCAACCTTTCCAGGGTCAAACAGGGGGCTCAAGCCAAAGGCCTCAGAGTCCACACTGGACCACAACTGCCATTAAATCAAACTGTCTCGCATAATGGCTAACAATGGCAACAGCTCAAAGAAATCTAAACTATAAATTCCAAGTATGTCCTTTATTGAAAATGACCAACAACAACAATGAAACCTCAATGGATTGTCACCCATAGAAGAGTTCTATCTTACAACTTACCAGAGGCTGTTGAGGACTTTAGTGTCCTCAATCATTTTTAGACAGTAAAGAGGTTCTAACAACAAAAAGGTCAAGAACTGCTGTCAAAGCTCCTAAGTCCTTTGGGAGGCAGAGCCAGCTGCTGTCCCATGACTTGTCAATGTACTCCCCTGCCCCAACCTCGCCACTCAACCCACAGACTGGAAAATCAGATGAGCAGACCATTCTACGCCTTCACCTAAATTATTGATAAAACATTAAAAAAAGCACAAAGTCAAGCACAGATCCCTGGGGTATTCCACTGGAGACTTCCTGTCACAATGACACTAAATCATTAACAATTACTTTTTTTGGGGGGGGGATGTTTGGCTAGGTAATGGGGTTAAGTGACTTCCCCAGGGTCACACAGCTGGTTAAGTGTTATGTGTCTGAGGCCACATTTGAACTCAGGTCCTCCTGAATCTAGGGCCGGTGCTCTATCCACTGCGCCACCTAGCTGCCCCCAACAATTACTTTTCTGAGTTCAACATCTAACAAGTTCTGAAATCACCTAATGGTAAAGCATCATCTGCAACAGATTATATTTTATATTGAAAAATTCTGGAAACTGATGTCCCTTTTTGCCTGGACAAGTACAGCTGAAGCTATTTAAAAACAAAACAAGCTAAAAACAGACAAAACCCAGCTTCAATTAGGAGTGAAAAGTACTACAAGAAAAGTGTCTAGTTCTGTTCTTCTAATTCAACCAGCAGAAATGCCAATTAGACGGACCAAGTGCTGTACTTCAGATGTCCTCCATTCCCTGCTGTCAAATCTCATCCAGACCGAAATGAGCTTGTGTTCCCAACAGAGGAGCATCACCATCTGCGTGCACCTCAAAGGCAACTTGTGCTCTGAAGTCAACATCCCTGCTTTAAGTTTGATGTATATTAAGACCACTGTCATCTAAGAGAAGCAATCTTATGACTAAAACAGCTAATTCTATCCATTTTAAAATAGATAAGATCAGTTAAGGTTCTTCCTGGTGAACCCTATATACCAAGGTCCCTGAAAGATCATTATGGAGGAGATAACAATACTCATTTCTAAAGGCAGCGAGAAACATATTTTAAATGACCAACTTCTAGGGGCAGCTAGGGTGGCACCATAGATAGAGCACAGGTCCTGAAGTCAGGAAGACCTGAGTTCAAGTCTGGCCTCAGACCAAACACTTGACACTTACTAGCTGTGTGACCCTGGGCAAGTCACTTAACCTCTATCAGATTATCTTTGGCAAAGATGATACTCCATTTTCCAACTACATGGTAATGTGTCAAAATGAGGCTTTCCTTCTCGGCAATTTATCAAAACTCTATAATAACTTGTATTTTCTTTTTTTTTTACTCTGTAAATAGCATCATAGTTAATAATACTGGCAATTTTCAAGATCCAATATAAAATTAAGTAGAGAAAGGATACTCCCAGTGTCTTAATTACAAAAGAATCTGGAAGCAAAATAAATCATTAGCTTCCCAAAAGCACTGCTACTTATACTTATTTATGAAGATTAATGACAGGCCCTTAGGAGAAAAATCAAACTATAAGAATCAATATCAGGAATTAAAGAGGGAGAGGAGTGGGGGCGAGGGACACAGAAGCTGTAATCTAGTGTAAATCAATAGGGATGAAGAGTGCTATCAAGCCTTTCACCCCAGACATCTACAGTAAAAACCAAGCAAATCATTCTCTTCTTTCCTCCCAACACTGCCCCGGAGGAATAAGAAGGAAAGGGATAGCCTTGCCTCAACTCTTGAAAAACTAACCTGTCCAAGCCCAGCCTCTTCTGACCACAAGAGACTGGGCCTAGGCCTGTTGACCAGTCACAGGCTTCTAAGCCTCCCATTCTTTCTCCCTCCTCCTCCCTACAGTCACACCCTCCCCCAAATTCTACCTTCAGCATTACAGAAAAATGTAGCCAATGAATTCACATGAAGGTATGTCCGTCAATGACATAATACCCCCTGCAATTATTTGCATCTTAAAAGAAGTCTATAACCAACCACGCTTAGGCCAAGAGGAATGGAGATGTTCAAGCACAATTTATTCTAACTACCTTAAAGGCTGATCTTAAAGCTCTCCCTTCCTAGCCAGACACATGGGGTAGGTGGAATAACTGGGAGGTGAAGGAATGTAAGTTTGAAAAGGGTGTGTGAGAAAAGGGGACAGTCTAACTCAAAAGGGCAAAGACCAGGCCCACCTAGCCTATCTACTTCCTGTTAGGGAAATGTATCCTGAACTTGCATATTTATTGTCAAGTCTAGTTAATGAACCATGAAACAGGACAATGAGTTTTTAAATCCAGAAGAGAAAAAAAGAAGGGGCCCTTAGTCACAACGGCTTCTTCTAACATTACAAGTGCTTTTGAACCAAGTGGAACTGTTGAAGATTATGACTGATAAAATTTCTAAAACTTTAATTACAGTTAAAACTTCTATTTACCCCTCCCCCTCTCTAATCTAATCAATGCATCTTTAAAGTTACAAAAGCAACATAATATATAGAATCAACTTAAAATGGGTGCTTGGAAAGTTTCCAAAGCAGAAGCATGACATGCATGTTCCTAGAACACATATCTACAGAATACTGGAGCAGGAAGAGGAGTCATCTCCCACAAGCCCTCAGTTCACAGAGGAACAAAATGAGGGGTGGGGCCTCCTGACTTCCACAAACCAGTGTGATCTTTCCATGACAAGTGGCTGTCTCTCAAACAGAACATTTCACAATTAAATGTGAAATTCAGTTAGCTTCAGACCACTTCCCTTATTCCTCCAACTACCAGAAGGGCCAGTGTGTGGGAAAGCCCTGGATTCCAACAAATTTCAGTTCTGTTGAGCTCCTGAGCAAGGTATTAAACTTCCTAAACCATCATGTGACTGCCCTGGACTGGCCGATCTCTCCATCCCTTGCAATCCTCAATCCTGTTTAAGACAAACCTGAAAGCACAAGGTAAGGGCAGGCACTCTTTCTGTCCTTAGTGGTGCAAAATCAATACTGGTAATCCTCACCTTTCAAAACGTATTCAAGCAGCAGCATTCTCTTGAGAGACACTTAGCGACTTCAACTGTACACTCGCTTTCCAATGGAAGGGATTGGGCCTCATATCATATTTCCTTAAGAAAACAATGGACCCTCCAGCACCTTAGGAACAAGAGAAGACGGAGCCCTGCCTGGGCCAACTGGGGCCACCCCCAGACTAGCAGCAGAAGCTGCTCCATCACTGAACCACAGATCTCTCAAGGAGCCTCCATGCAGCTGTCCACAGCCCACCTTACTCCACAGCGATCCTTTCCTTCTCCCCCCTTCAATCATCTGAGCCTGACTGGCCATGTCTGGGCACTATTCTTTAGCAGTTTCTCTTCCAACCAGGAAATCTCCACAAGGGCAAGCCCCACTTGCATCCTTTCTCTATTTTCCAGTATGTAACACTGTACTCAGTGTACAGCCAAGACTTTGGGGCCTTTGAATAATGAATAGAAAAGAAAAATAGATAAACTACCAAATGATGTGGGGCTTCCTCTTTTCTTTCTTTCTTTCTTTCTTTCTTTTTCTTTCTTTCTTTCTTTCTTTCTTTCTTTTTCTTTCTTTCTTTCTTTCTTTCTTTCTTTCTTTCTTTCTTTCGCAAATGATCAATTTTATTTGGACACCTCTATTTAGACAGAAAACAGTCAAGCTTGGGCTTTCAGGCGCAACAGAGGAAAATGATGACTCTCTCTGCTGAAACGGTGCTCGAATCTCAAGTCCATCCAGTTCCAAGCCTTTTTCAAAGCAGCAGAAGCAGCACTACCAACTCCCTGGCAAGTGAAGTCAGAGGCTGCTTGCTAGCTCATAGCCCAGAGGTGGTTTGTTCTGGATGACCATACCCACAACTGTGACCTCTGGACACAAGTAAAGGCCAAGTGACCGGTACAAGGATGAAGTCACTAGAATCACAAGGGAACCTATCACTAGGTAAAAAACAGCTCTGGGGCATCGCAAAAACAAGAACATTTCACCAAATCGTTTTCTTAAAATAAATGTAGCATGAATGAATGGCTTTTTAAAGAATCCAGGTGTTCTCATTTAGAAACAAACACAAATGCCACTTCTATGATTTTAATAGGGGGAAAAATTCTGTATCTCCCTCTCTGCACTGGCTGGACGTGCAGGAGCCCTGATCCGCTGCTCTGGCCCTTGCCACTTCCCACTACAACACAAGAGAATAAGTTTGCCTTCTGACAACCTGGTGGCCCCCGCTCCCTGGAAATCTCTCAATCAAGGCCAAATGTCACAGACTCTAAGCCTCCCCACCCTGAGAGCTGCCACCACACGTAGCTGGATGACAATTCTGTTTCAAAATCAGTCACTTCTCTCCCAAATCGTTTGTTTCA